GGATGCGCGCTTGTTATAAGTAGGTCACTACATTGATTTTTTCCTGCTCTTTCCAAATATCAAAACAGATCCACAAAAGTTTGCATACAGAGTGTTGTTTTTGAAATGAACAAGTTTTCGTTTTTTCCTCAAGACGGACCTGGATTCTGATCTTAATTTTTATTTAGTTTTGATGTGCAATATAAGTGAAATATTCCTACCAAGTATGAATAGATTATACAACGTGGTTCAAAAATTATGACTAGATGAAGATTTCGCCAAAATCAAGATAACGTCCTGTATCTCAGTTATAAGAGACGGTAAACATATCAATGGGGGTGATTTGAAAACGTCAAAGTGTCCTCTATCTGCCAGTATCGTATGTACAATTAAGTCTGAAACACCCTGTATAATGATGAAGATGGAAAGCCCTAACTTCGAATGACAAGGGAAAATGAAAAAACTCCACCGCCCCGTGTGAGAGTCGAACTCACAACCTCACGAAGTTGGGGCTTTTCATCTTAATCATTATATGTATCTTGTCGGTTGAATAACCGGCAAAAATTATGAATGATTGCCTTCGGACATTTCTGTATACAAGGAAAGACAATGCCAGAGGACGAACGGGGAAATATGGAGACTGTATAGTACCATCTTGCCAGCGATGCCTGAACTTGTTAGGTTTTTTAAAATCTGTTGATGATATTTCTTCATTGGTACTATTAAGTTTCTTCTTCTTCTTCCTATTTCATGATGGAAAATTTGAATTTATAGTGATTTCATTCGTTGTTCATCTCACTCTGTATACAGATGATCTAATCCTGACTACCATCATGCCTGGTGTCATTCAAATTCATTTAAGAATTATTATACACGGCGACTTGAAGAATGGAATTATTCAAAAATTGTAACGTTGATAAAAAACACCCCTAATGGAGTTATTGTGATCGCAGTAGGCCAAGAAATTGTATTTGATGATTTATTTCGCTCGACAAAGTAGATAATCTTGAGTAGTATATTATGAGGGAAAAAAATTGAAATTGCTATAGGAATACAAAAGTACAGGGGTGGGATGCACCAAATTGTAACACACTGTAGATGTCTTTTGCAGCTTTCATCAGTCCAAAAGATTGTCATTGTACAAAAACTTATCTAATCCTTATCATTTCTAACCCTAGGCTATTGGCCATCTATATGAACCTGAGAGCATATATAAATATCGAATATTCTCTTTTCTCTCCTTAGGGTATATTTTGGCATGTGCATGGAATATGATGTTATAAAATTCAGCTGAATCATTAATTCACGGAGTAACTCCACTGTGAAATATTCATGAAGCTCGCGATTTGCATTTTGATAGGGTGTTCTATTTTAGAGACAAAAGCTGCCATGTAACAATTTCGTGAAAGTGAAAATTCGGATGTACGCCGGATTCAATATACATAAACATAGTTAGCGAAACTCCGTCAAATAGACAGAAAATGGCAGTGGAAAATATTTGTACTTGTGACGAAGATAGCAAAAGGAATTCGAGATTATGTGAATCCGTTCTGGTATACTGAATTCGCAGGGTTTCAACGAAACGAAATACCTGAATAAATACCTAATAATTGATACAGTTCCACATTAATCTCCTCCATTGTTACCCCCAATATACAGGGGCATCTGAAGAGGTAATATTCCAGTGATCAATAGAGGAGCTTACTTGAAGGCAGAAATTATGAAGGTTAAAACCTTGCAAAAAATAAGATGTTTAGGAAATATTCATACTGTTACGTTATTCGAGTGCAGAAGCGAACAGGACACTATTTATTTTCGAACTGGTTTATTTTAACTAAAGGAACAGTAATTTATATCGAACTTATAAGTACTATTCATGTCAAATAATTTATATCACGCGGTATATGACTGTCTTTCTGACACTCGCTGCTTGACTGACTGACTGACGGCAGTTGTTCGGCCGTCCTTATATATTAAATCGCTTGGCAGGCTTTGCTTCTCGAACTTTCCCGAATGATCTTCCGTACCCTTCTTTTTGTTCTAGAAGCTTCTTAGAACAATACCTTCCTCTCTAATTGTTCCATCGATTGTTTCAAAAACATTCCAGAATCTTCTGTCACGTTATTTGTCACCGCGGCATATATTGAGTGTTCGGAAATATGCTGGTACATGTCCCCCTCTGAGGAAAATATCATCACAATACAATAAACTAACTTTACATTCGACTTGCTCAACTTCTGTATACTTCACGATGTTGAAGGAATAAAATTAGTTGTAGGTAAAGGCTAGCTTATCCTTCATTTTGGAAACTTAGCACAATGATCCACATTCAAATGCAGACTTCAAAGTGACGGATCAACTTGGAAGCAAGCTCGGATCCAGGATGGACCTGATAACACAAACCACACACCTCTCCCGGCAGTTCATGTACAGTCGCATTAAAAAAAAAGCGTACAAGTATATTACAGAGAGAAATTAAGGTCATCCTATTCTGCATAAAACGGGATATCGGGAATGATTGTTCATCAAATGTTGAAAGTAAAGTTGTCATAGGTTCTCGAAATCACAAAGCATTGGCTGAGCCAGTTTTACACAACTAGAACTAGGATCCCGAAAACCTCTCTTTTTAATACTTGTACGCTTCTTTATTGAATACGACTGTACTTTCCTGGATTCGAGGTATCCAGGCGGCCGCCTGCCGGCCCTAATACACATTACCGGCGATTTAATTATTGACTTAGAAGTGCTATAGCGTCAACGAATTCCAATGCACCATTGAACAGAGCGCTCAGCCATTAACGGGTATGCGCTTGCGAATCCGTATCAAGGAGGATGAGTTTCTCGAACACTTCCCGAGTATCTGACCGAGAACTACAAACTATAAATGCGCACAGTTTGTAGTTCCCAGTCAGATACTCATTGGGAAAGTGGCTATGTGACTGAGCAGTCAAAGAGGGGGATCAACTGTGGAGTACCTCAAGGATCTGTGTTGGGACCAACACTATCCAATATATATATATTAACGGACTATTTTCACTGAGCCAAAACGAAAATATTATAGGATTTGCTGACGACACAGCCATCTTTCATAAAGCCGATAACTGGAATTCATCGAAAGTGAAGGTTGAAACGGAGTTTTCTCTGATGAAATGTTGGTTGGATAAAAAGTTATCAATATTGACAAAACGTATTACCTTCCATTCTCATGTAATTCTGCTGGAATGTCACCATTCGATCATCTATCGATCAGGACAGGGATTTACATATTATTAGGTACATTGTCAATAAATTTAGAACAATTTCATTCAGATTTAGAAAACTCAAAGATATCTTACCGCTTCAGTACCTCAAACCACTATACTATTCTCTTGTGGGGAGTCACATCCGCTATGAAATAATAGTGTGGGGCGGAGCTTTGAATACTCATATTCATTCCACCGAAGTTATGCAAAGACGTTTTGATAGATATCCTTCTGATGAACTATACACTGAAACACAGATGTTGGACATAAGACGATTGTATTTTTTGTGCTCCAGCAGTATATATGCAAACAAACATTCAGTATTCATCAGTACCATACTCGTCAAAGGGATCATTATTACACACCACAAATGGTTGGGGTCGTTGTTCAACGCTTCTATATTCACTTTGCTGCAAAGCTATATAATAGCATTCCTGAAATCATCAAATCACTAGTGAGTATTCACAGCTTCAAAAAACAACTGAAGAAACACATAATTCAATGTCAAAGAATTCAGCTGCTACGACTATTCGAGGAAATAAAAATCCTACAAATTGTGCAAAATAAGTACTATCGCCATGTACCTATCGATCCATATTTCAATGGTTTTTGTATTTTCAAATTTTGAATTGATTTAGAATATATTCACACTATTTATTTATATTTTGTATATTTATGTTCGTTTCTATAAGTATATTTCATACTACTTTTTATGTATCCATGTATATTTTTGTATTTTATCTATATTTGTTCAACGAAACAAGTACATTTAGTACTTATCGTTCTTTTATAACTTTTGCTTTTTTATTTGTACATTTATACATGTTTGGAAATTCATGTTGCTGTTGTTGAATAAAAGTTCGATATTATTATTATGTCAGCGTCATACTGTGTATGCAGCGATCGCATGATCCTACATAAAAACTATGCCACTAGATGGGGACATCATGACTAGATCTTTATGTATTATCTAGCATCTTAGGTATAGCTGTTATAAATACCGAAAGATATCCGCTGGAAACTAGGTCACTGAGTCACGTGATCGCCGTAATACAGGAGATACCGTGAAAATGAACAATTCCCATTGTTACTCAAAAGCATGAATTGTATTCGGAAAATTTCTCGCAAAGTTCAATCTTATTACTAACCATGCCAGCCAATGGGAATAAATTGAAAAGTCCTCCTACTGGAGAGCAACTCCAGGTCAACGACAAGTGAAAAAGTTCATCAACCATTCGCAGAACCGAGCCAAAGAGCTACTCAGCCTCAGCAAACCAGAGCTAAAGCTTATCTCAGGCTTTCTCACAGGACAGGGCCCTCTGAGGTACCACCTCAAAAAGATGGGTCTGGCGGAGACTGACACTTGCCGCCAAAGGCTGAACCACCTAGAACAGGTCTATCTCACCCCTGCTGAAGTGGAAAAGTCAACCGTCCGGAAAATCGTAGGCTTCATCAGAAGTCTAGGGTTAGAGGACCAAAACTAGATAGGGGTAATCACAATAGATCTTCTAGGTCGCAGTGATCGAGAGGTCTCCCAGCCTATACGACCCATATACAATCTACAATCTACAACCATGCCAGCCTACGGTCAATCGGTACAAGTGAATGTCTTCGTACTCCGAAGAATTATTGTTTATTCAGTCAAAGTAATGCCACTGTTCTCCATTGAGAAGGAATTTTGACTGTTTTTCATTCGGAAATATTTTATTTCAGAGACAAGGCTGTATTCATGGTGAAGACCTGCCTTATCTCTTCGGCGCTCCCTTGGTAGGAGGTTCTATGCACTTCACAAGAAACTACACCAAGTCCGAAATGGTCCTATCGGAAACCACAATGATCTATTGGAGTAACTTCGCGAGGACGGGGTGAGTTCATCAGTATTCGTACTCCTTTTTGTTCAGGGATACTATAATGGAAATCAACTCGCAAAATAAGATATGCATTCGGAATTGCCGAAATTTCTTTCTGAAATTATTTAGATCATAACCTCGTTTATATCGAACCTCGAAGCTATGGATAATTAAGATCTACTTCGTTATTGGCACCTAACGACGTTCGGTTTTCTCCCAACGATCATCAGTTCTCTTTTTTTGAATGCACTCAAGAATCAGTTGAGATTTACCCTCGAAGCACCTAGGTACTAAAAATAATTTTATGACTGAATTAAATAATTTAGGTTGTACATACTGAGATTCATCATGGTTTTTTATCTATACTGTCTATAATGGGCTTTCACACAGAGTTGATTGTGACGTCAATATGTCAACACATACAGTGTTGCCAGTTGAAAGGAAATGACTGAATGACCAACCGCCCGAAAATGGATATGTCTAGTGTTACGATCGTCGGACGTTATAATGTTTTTTGCAACCAACTCAAAAGCCGTCCATTTATGTTTCAAAATCAGCACTTGAAGTTGATAAATGAACTTCAATTCAAATTCAATTCAAACCAGTGGAGAAAGTTATGTTGGTTCATTTCTCCATGGTGATCTTCATGTTCAGTTTTTGAAGAAAATACTGATTCTGCACCAGGAATGAATCCATCTCCACATCCATCATGTAGGACGATGAATCTAATATGAATCACATAATGCAAATTATATTTATTCATGAGAATCATAAAAAATACCTGGAACCTCCTATACTTTGTTTTTTTTTTCACACTTTTGACATTGGAGTCTTGCCATGAGTGTCCTGATGTACCATCCTGAAAGATCCAGGTCTCATCAAGAAAAACAAATTGTCTTAAACCTTTATTTTTCAATTGGCAGTATGTCTGCAGGAACGTAGTACACTTCACTGCCATGTGAGGTAGTTCCATCATTTCTTTTCGTGGATCATCTTTCCTGAACTTGAAGCCAATATTTTTCAACACTTTCCATAGAGATATGATGCCTCCATTAAAGAGATAACGTTCAGCAAGTTTATCTCTCAATGTTTCCAATATAATGTGTTCCTCACTTCGAAATCAAACACATAGGTATTACCTAAAATGATCATTAATTTGCAGTGAAAATACTTATTGTTCTCATACATATCATAGATACAATTCCTAATTGCGACTTGTTCGCCATCATCAAGGTCTAAAATGGGTGTTTCTCTTTCTCAGTTCTTTTTGGGGCCTGCCAAATCATTACCATGTTCCTGTTTGGCAGATATTCTCCATACAGTAGCGCGATACTAATTATTAATGCAGCAGCTACTCTCTGTAATTCAGACAAATCATATTTGGATCATTCTGACAACATAAAATATCATTATTAATACATCTCTCATAGCAGTAAGTGGTAGTAATGTTAATTTTCGAAATATTGTATCAATGATACCACCATCTTCTGTGCCTCCGCACTCAATGGTTTAGGCATTTTGAATAAATCAAATTTCACCAATGATCCACAAATAAATCACAAACAATTCCTTGAAAGTACAAATTGTCAGTAATGAATAATTCGCAGAGATCAGCTGATCACAACAAATCGGTTCTAGAAATGTCAAATAAATCTGGCATCGGTGTACAGTTTCGCCAACTTAAATCGATAACGTGGTTCGCCCATTTCGAAAGTTACTAGTATTTTTCGATGTGTAGTATTGGCACGACATTTTTACCAAGTGTTGCGCAACTATCAACCCAGCGTGAAAGCCCTTTACATACAGTTTTGTTAATTCATATCGTTTTCAATGAAAACAGTATCGTCATTGATAGTTTCATTTTTTCACGTATGCCTCTCAAAAAAACTGTCTTTGAGTTTAAATGATTTCGACTGAGAACAACAAAATTCGCCTGCGGTGCATTTTCGTAAGGTTTATGTTCTATCTTCGGCACTGCCAAGAATAATAATCATCTGTTCTCTATTGAATGGCATTTGAATGAATCTTCTGATCAGTAACCATCATCAGATCACATTTTTGATTATATCAGTTATGGAGATTCATTTGAACCAGTAAGGTAGTGACACCAAACATTGACACCTTATTCTTTAATAAAGCTCCAATAAGAAATCAATGTGTTTTCTGTTCGTCATCAAATAGTGATTCGAATGTTTCAATATTTTGAAAAGTTTCATGTTTACAAAAATAAGCACAAAAATGGGGTGTCGATAACTGGTACAGTTGAAAACATATTGTAGCAAATACGGACAGTGATGTCAAAAACTACTTCAATGATAAAAGTGATATTTATTCACTCTATTGTTTCTGAATTCTGATTCAATTCCGAAATTGAATCAGAATAGATGAATGATGAACCATATTTTGCCCTGATCACCAAATTTTAATCACAGATTGCTTTTAATTCTTAATTTACTTGGAGACTCTATAGCATTGTTGAAGTTCTAACTGCTAAATATTAGTGCTGCTAGTACTTTGAAGGCTCTGTAACTACTGCCTGTCTTTATTGAACTAGATTTCAACTGAGAAATCGATAATGAATACAATTGGTACAAATTGTCAACAAGAGCGGGACACCACTGTTTCGGTCCGCAAGGTCTCATCAGTCGTCCTCGGCCTGTTTTCCTGCTGGTAACTAGGTCAATTCGAATATCGAACACGTTGCAAGTTGCAATAAACATGGAAAAATCAATTCACACTAATGATCGTCCAGAAAAGCAATGGTATAAATACTATAAATTGAGCCTTCCTGATGCGACATAAAAATACAGCGCAGGATTTTCTAGAATTCAACCAACAGTTTGGCAAATGTAACTGGAAGAACATTACTTTGATAGTTGGGAGAAGTCAGACAGGAGAGCTTTCTTTAGATTCTTCAATTTCCAATAGAAATTTGACACATGACCTTTAGCATCTCACGGTGCCAATAGCTATGGTGCCATTACCTTACCATTTACCATAGATCTAGAATCACTTCCTTTGTGACAAATTCTACCTACCAGATTATTTCATTAGATCAGCACAATTCGTCAATTATATTCATTACCTAAACACTGAAAGGGGAATTATCGGTTAACCCAATTGTTTCACTCGATCCGTATACGAGAGAGAATCGATAATAATAGTGAGAGGAAGTTAAAGACATAAAGGAAACCTCGTGAGCACAATTGTGGTAGAAAAAGTTGCGCATCTCGCATCTCCCAATCCGACTGTAAGCTAATAGTTAATTGGCAAAGTCTTTGAGGTGCTTATACGGGCGAATTAAGTGTTCGTGAATCTCATATGTTCATCTTATTACATTCAGAATTACTATTACATCATTCAAATGGATTTACTTTGACACCTGATGGGTAGTTAAAAGCAGTCAACTGCATTCAAGTTAGCTCAAAACTTGTCTGGGTTGCTCAAGGGCCCAGAAAGAGTTAGACATCCGTTGAAAAATGCTTACGTTGGTGGTGCCTGTGGCATCTCCTTCATTTTCCCTATTCATATTGGACTGCAAGAGGGGTTCCAGACTTCTGGCAAAATCTAACAGGATTGGCCCATTATTTGAACAGTCTTAAAAGAATGCAACCCAGCAAATGTTTGGATTATCATATATGAAGAATTGGACTGTCAACCAAAATCAATCAACCAACAAATCAATAATTTATTGTTCATCAAAACTACAGTTTCATGACAATGTGAGTTCAGGCAGAAATGGTGAAAGAAAAATGCCATTATCCAGAAACTGTAACGTTGATGAAAAACCACTTTATGAGATATCGTTTTCAAAATTGATATAGGAGTATTTGTGACTAGTCCGAATCGATCACCATTATCAAAATTCTTGTAAAAGAATGCCTAATTCCTTTTCTTCAATTTTTCTGAAGTTCTTGTGATCGTGAATTTTGAGTAGTATATCATGAGAAAAGATAATTCTCAAATCGTCCTAGGAATACGAAAGTACATTGGTGGGGTAGAGAAAATTGTAGCACACTGTGTATAAAAATACAATATATATCGGAGGATGGAGCCTTTGGCACGATGATCAAACTATACACTGTTCCACCAGTAACAGAACCGATTCTGCTCAAGATAGTGAAACTGGTATCGAAACATTAAAAAATCTGTTTCGTTGGTGGTGAAACAGTGCAGTGTGGTCAGTTATATTAGTTCACTTCTATCCCTGATAATTTACAGAATGCTTCTATTCTCAGAGATCCTTTCAACGACAATTGCAAAAAAATCCACGTTGATTGGGTTGTTTGATTTATTGTTTTCATTCCTCATCAGGAACCCCAATGAAGCTCCAGAAGGAGATTCCTCCCATGGAGGAAGGCAAGAAAGGAGCAGATTCAAGAACGTCGAATGGACAGCATACGAGGGCGTTCACAAAAAATACCTCAATTTAGGTGAGTTATATCATTCTGAAAATTCCAAATATCGATGAAGCTTGATGTTGTTGCTAGAATTCTATAAAATATTAACCACTATGGGTGTGCATGAATATGAGTGCGAAAAAATTCATCAATTCTATTTCAAAAGGTTCAAATAAACATTTGCTCTGCTTTGAATAATTCAAATTCGGATCACACTGTTTGCTAGCCCAGCTATAATCTAGTACTTCTTTGAAATATAAGGTTTTTCACATAAAATGGCTACAGGGTGTTACCTGAAACTGTGCAAAATTTCGGAATTTTCAACAAGACAGCAGAGGCATGTAGATGATCTTACCTTAGGACATACATGCAGGGGTGCTTCCAGAAAAAGTGAGACAAAATTCTATTTTCCAGAACTGAAAATTTGCCACAAAAAATATAAAAAGTTTGTGAATTGGACGTCCTGATTTTGAATCAGAAGTGATTTTCAACCTATCTTGCCTACTAATTTCATTTTTTTTTGGGGGGTGTTTCCAAGGCTGTTGCCGAGCAGTGTAAATCACTGAAGATGATTCCACTTGCTCCTAGTGTACACAGCTTCGCAGACGATCGTACCCTCCATACCGCCTTCTCTTCCAGGGCTCCTATACCAGTCAGGCAGAAACGAACCAGGGAGAAATGACAACATAAATATGGACTTGGCAACAATTCTCGAATGTGGATCCAATAACTTGGTAGATTTAAATGCAAACAAAACACAAGCATGCCTTTTCTTTCTTTCCATGGAAACAAAACATAAGCAAGCCGATCTCACTGTGCCCAACATAAGCTTTTCAGGAGTAACCAGACCTTTGAAGACATCCATTTCGATGCTTGGTATTACTATCAGCAATAACCTTTCTTGAGAAAATTACGTGGGATCAATTGTTGAAAGTGCATCCCAAAAACTTGGTTTTCTGTTTCGGGCCTGGAGGTATTTCACTTCCAGTCAGCTGCTTATGACCTATAAGGCACAGGTCCGACCTGTCCTGGAATACTGTTCCCATGTTTGGAGTGCAGCACCCAAACATACCCTGAAACTGTCTGTCCAAAAAAGGGCAATTGGTCTCGTGGGTGATGCTCACAAACTCACTCACTTCTCTGGAACACCGTAGAAAAGTTGGCGATCTGGCTCTATTTGATAGATATTTCCATGGACGATGCTCTCCTGAAATATCAACAATTGTTCCTCCCTTGGCAGTCCCTGCGAGATCAACCCGTCGAGTTGAAGCTTCGCACCCCTTCGTGGTCACTTTGGAGACCTGCAGAACATCTCTTTCCAAAGACTCGTTCATCCAACGAACAGCGATGCTCTGGAACACATTGCCAAGGGAGGTGTTTCCCGTGGCATATAACCTCCAGAAATTCAAAAAGAACACCAATTCCTACCTCATTTTCCTTGGTTCTCACGATGTTCTCTGAACATTACAGGTTTTCCTGCAAATTTCAGAATACCAAGTAGACAATTACGAAAGATACCTACTTGGGTATCTTGAGTAGAATTGAGATACTGTATGATATTCATCTGGAGACAATTCTGATCCTCATATCTTTTCATCTGAAGTTTCAGCTTAAAAATCGGTTGAAAAAAGTTATCACTACAAAACCAAGAAGTTAATTTTTTGAGATCACTCTGTGGATAAAAGAGATAAGAAGACAAATTGAAAAAATGACTCAAGATCATGAGCTCGCATTCTTTTGCCTCTGCTGTCAAAGTTGAAAAAAAAGTTTTTGTTTATTTGGGGTCTTTTGAAAATTCCGAAATTTTTTCACAGTTTCAGGTAACATATTTCATAAAAGTATGAGATCATAGTTGAAAAACTGGGATAGCGAACAGTGTGATCCGAATTCAAATTGTTCGAAGCAGAAAAAAGTTATTCATATTTCAACAACGGCAAAATTTTGGTTTGCGATGAAATTAGTGTTGCGTGGTTTAATTCTCGAATAATTATGCGTACTTGAACTAATGAATCCTGTCACTTACAGCAGAGGAGGACAAATTTGAATAAACCGATTATTTATATATCCTAAGACGAGAAATATCGGTTGTAATTGAAGTTCGCGAAGAAAGAAGTTTTTCAATTAATCAAGCTTCCAGCAAATTGATGGTAATTGAACTTCAAAATGTGTTTTGAACTAGTGGTATTGAGGCAGAAAAAAATGGAAAATAATGAAGTTAAATTGATAAAGAAGCCTCATTTACAAATGACGTTGAGTCATTCTGGGTATAATATATTACATAATATATTGCTGTATAGTTCACATTGGACTTTCAGAAAAAAAAACATTCATGATGAATATTTTTTCGGGATTTATCTTTCATGAGTATTGTAAATACGAGAATCTCAATATCGATATCGAAGCTATGACTGTATGAGTGACAGCAACTCATTTCAGAATTTGGAGATATATGGTTCCATTCGCAATAATTGAATCCTAATGCACAATGGAATTCAGAATCAAGGTTACACAATATTTCGAAAGGCGCAAAAATTTTATTCTGAAATTTCAAGTGACGTTTTCTCCATCATCGTTGACAATATAATTCATAGTTGTATTAAAATATCGAATAGAATAAACTAACTACCGCCTGAAATGAGAAAATTAGAGCCTCTTCAGCTCAATAGCAAGTGAAATCTGATTTTTATTCTGGTCGAATGAAAGATGTGAATGAGGATATTCCAACGAGACAGGTAAGTATCTACTGGAACACTATGTATATGGTTGTGATCATACGTAACAAAGTGACTGAATATTATGTGAAGACTCCATATAGCGTTCATTTTTTCCTCTTGAAGCGCACAAACGAAAATTCTTATAATGTTAGAAGATCATCGTGTGTACCGATAAAGAGGATAGGAAGTTCTTGGAAATACTTCCATTGGCAAAGCATTCCAAAGCATTGCCATTCTATGGGCAAACGAGTTTCGAAAGAGTTCGACATCTTTCACGGTTGACAACGAAAGGATGTGCTGACTGGGTCTGTCAAGTTAGTCTGACTGGTATTATTAGTGATGGAATGATAGCAGAGATTTCTGAGGAACATTTTCCGTGGAAGTATATCTATAGAAACGTGGAAGGTTACCGAATTGTCAACGGTGTTCTAATGAGGTCAATGGATTAGTGAGTGTGACATCACCCACCAGGCTATTGGCTCTTCACTGGATGGAATCTAAGAGCTTCAGAGTATCACTCACCCATTAAGCTAATCTGGAAATGCATTCGAAGAATGAATTAATCATTTCCCAATCACATCTTTTCAATTTTCGAATTATCCTGCTAAATCGAAACAGTGATTTGGCAACTGTTCTCATTTTCCTAGTGAACTTATCTGGAACTTTTGTGAGACCGGAATGAATCAATTTGAACTTTTCCTACACTAACATTGGATCCGTGCCCGACATGCCGTGAATACGGAGATTTGCATTTACATCTTCCGATATCAGAGCTGTTAGCTGTAGCAATGGCTGTAGTAGGAAAGGAAAAAGCAGGAAAACGCCCTGGTTTGAATTAAAAAAATCAAATCTGTACCCATATGGAAATAGATTGATTGAGAAAACAATTGAAAAAATCAAATCTGTACCCATATGGAAATAGATTGATTGAGAAAACAAACTGCGACAATCAGTATCACTCCAAATAACATCCAAGCAAACATAAATCATCACTTCTTATCATTGGTACATTATTGGTATATTTCAATGGTTGGCCTTGTGGGCTCACTCATTTCTAATGTACCTAAGTGGCATATTCTCAGAGAAAGAATTCTAGGTTATTCCCAGACAGCACTGGATATTCCTAGAATATTCTCTGAATATGCTAAAAAGGAGGAGTATATTCCGAATATTCATCGATTATTCCTATAATATATACATGCCTCTGGAACATCTAAAAGGGATATTTCAAAGTGAATAGTCGAATATGTTCAGGGAATATTCAGGTATGAATTTTCCAGGAATATTCCCAACTGAATATTCTCTGTTGTATATTCATGAAATATTCCCAACTGAATGTTCTGTGGGGTATATTCATGAAATATTCTCTACTGAATATTCTGTGCGGTATATTCATGAAATATTCTCAACTGAATATTCTGTGGTGTATATTCATGAAATATTCCATAAATATTCCTATGTTTCTCAACAACATATATACCAATCATTATTTCAGAGATGTGAGTATCGAACATCGATTAGATGTAAGGGGATTTTGAAACAAAAAGTGTTTATGATCCGATTTCGAACAACTCTCTCACAAGAAATTGATATGTACAACCAACATTACTCAATTCGATTACTGGCCTAGTGGTCAAGGCGTTGCTCTAGTAGTCTTGAGGTCACAAGTTCGATCCCTACTTGGGTCACTTTTTTTAATTTTAGAATATGTTTATTGGAATATTCCAGGAACATTCAACATAGAATATTCTTTTGGATGTATTCTATGAATATCTGAGGAATTCCCATTCGCATATTTAGAGAATATTCCACAGATATTCCGGAATATTCCAGATTATTTCTAGAATATTCCAATATTCCAAAAGGAATATGAGAGGGAGATGCATGGAATATCTGGTGCTGTCTGGATTTTTGTTTGACTCATTATATACAGCAACACTAGCGTCTGCAGGGAGAACGCTTGAAATACGATTGGGAAATTCAGGAAAATTAATTATTCAATCATTCATAAATCCTCAATTATATTTTGATCATAAGTACCTGCCCGATTTGGACGATTCTCCTTTCGAATGACAGGTTATTTCCTTCTGAAAATTGGTGTGCAAACTGTATTCGCATAAATACCTCTTTGTTATATCGAAATGTCCTCATGGAATTTGTAATATCCTGTAGAGTGTAAAAGTTACACTATCGAGTTAGACTTGAAATCACACTTCAGCCTTATTTTTTTTCAACATTTCTTTTTTGGATTCACTCCATTATCTTTCGAATTGATCGAGAAACAACATTTTGTTCTATGGAAAACTAGCTGACCTGGCA